ACGCACGCACACACACACACACACACACACACAGGTCAGTTAAAAGAAAATACTGTCATTTAATTTTCTTTAATTTAAATCAGCATGAATTAAATGCAGTTTAAAAATACTACAATGTGGAAGTACTCTACAATTTAAATAGTAAAATAGTAAATAAACACATTCAGTATAAATGTGATGTTTTAGATATAAAATACTGCAATAAAATAATTTTTAATTTGAAAAAGCACAATTTAATTCAGGTTAAATTGGTGTAACTGAAGACAGTTTAAAAATACTATGATGAAAAAAAAATTGAATGGAGAAATAAATAGTAAATAAAATATAAAGCACAAACAGTGTTTCATGAATAATATGAATTTTTATTTTAGTGCAATTGAGCAACCATTAAAGTTTAATATTTTGTTAGCTTTTATATTTTCATTTTAAAGTTTTAGTATTTTTAATTTTGTTGTGTTTTTGTCATTTTTAGTTGTTGTTATATATAGAATTTGAATGCATCAAGTTAAACTAAATTACATTGAGGCTTTGCAAATAGCTAGCGTCCAGTTAATTTTAATTAAAGTAATGAAAATGTTTTTTATGGTTTAATTTTAGTTTCAGTTTTACTAAACTATAATAATCAAAATATACTGTAATAACATTTATAAATTATAAGAAATAAATTCGTTTATCAATTAAATTTTTAGGAGCATAATTAAAGGCAGATAAAAATACTACATAGAAATAAGAAATAAAGATATACAGTACAAATACAGTGTGTGTGTGTGTGTGTGTGCGTGTGCATTATATGTACATATACAGTAGTCAACATTTGAAGTGGATCAAAAAAGTTCATCAAAGTTGTTCTAAGACAAGAACAGGTATTGTTTTGGTTTTAGGACAACTTTGATGAAAGGTTTTGATCCACTTCAAATGTTGACTAGTGTATATACACACACATATAATCTTTTGAAGGAAATACAGATCATGTTGAGATCGATTCTTTTAGAATTGAAAAACACACATCATGAAACGAAGGAAGTGAAAGCCGGAGTGAAATTAACCCTTGAAATATGCAGTATTTGCCTTGTGGAGCATGAAATGTTTCCCACAGTGCCAGTGATCTGTGAGCAGCCGTTTGTGCGGCTCTGACCTTCAGCTCAGTGTTTCTACAGCAGCGACTGAAGCTCATATGAGAGGATTGAGAGTCAAAGACCCGTCACGTCCCTAAAGTTCTTCTGATTCACCCCGTCAAAGACACACACACACACACACACACACACACACACACACACACAAAACCACAGAAAGAAAGAATTATTCTGATAGAGAATCAGCAGAAACACACCTGGAATACAAAACTTACATCTACCAGCTATCAGACCGCAATACCGTGGTTTTTATTCAGTGTATCACTAGCAGGGTTATCATTAACAAAACTAAGAATATAAAAACATTTGAATTGACTAAAATAAAACAAAATTTAGTTTTCTGTAGGGCTTGCCTCTTAATAGTCAACTAAACATTAGTCACCCAAAATTGTATTAGTTGGACAGTCGCAAGGAAAACAAAAACCTCCACAGGAAGCAGAATCATGTGGTCTGTTAATTACAGTATGGGCGCTTCTCATTTCTTATTTGTGCATCCTCTCTTAGCTCCACCCCCCTTAGGATGCGAGAAATGTTGCAATGAAAGAAAATGAGTCCAGAGGAATTAAAGGAAAGCATATTTGTATAATGGAAAATTCTTGATCACTCCAGCATCACTTCAAAGCATCATCAGCTGCACTTAGGGGATCTGATCTTATGTTGTTTAAGTTTGGTTAAGACATTCATAATAAAAATTAATAAAGCAAGATGCCCTGTTGAAATATGTGGTTTATTTAATTAAACTGCAAAGGTAAAAAAAATAATGACATTTGTGAAGGGGGAGGAGAATTTATACATGCGTCAGATTTTTCGATAAGAAAGACTTCAGCATAGTCAAGTCAAGTCACCTTTATTTACAGTATATAGCGCTTTTAACAATACAGATTGTGGCAAATCAGCTTTACAGTATTAAATAGGAAAATAGTGTGTCAATAATGCAAAAGGACAATAGTAAACACTCAATTTTCAGTTAAAGGCAGTTCATCATTGAATTAAGTGATGTCATCGTCCAGCTCAGTTCAGTTTAAATAGTATCTGTGCAATCAAGTCGA